GTTGGCTTCATCTGTTGTATCAACATCCAAGAATTATTTGTCAAACCCCAACCAACACGTTGACTAACATGTGAATCAAACTTTGCACCAAACGCTGGGATTAAACTTTCATGAATCACCGTCCCTGATGAGGTCTCTTCTCAGCAGGCCATGTTTTGTTGATGCGGTGTGAGTGGCTGCTCTCTGCCGTGTCTGCGTCTCTACACTCAGCAGAAGTTGAACATGGAGGCTCATTGCAAAGAATCTGATGCTCATGTTTTGTCTGCTCTCCACTTTACTGCTGTTCTGCTCAAAACCACTGCATTGTAAAAACTGATATACAGGAAGATCATAAATGTCTCTGGGGTTGAGAGGATCTCAGTGTGTTTGTGCACATGCATGTCTGCACGAGTGTTTGTGGCGCACGCATGTGAGGGCTTAATGCAAGTCTGATGGAGTCATGGCTAATCTATGAAGTCTAAACAGATATCTGAGAAGAAGTGGGGGAAAGTTTCTGTTTACTGGCTGCGTGCCTTTCTTTTCTCATGACAACAAATCCTGAACCTGGAAGCACACAGACACACACGCATCACGGAGCACCTGCGTTCAGATGTTTTTCTCAGAACTGTTCCCCCAGAGCAGCAAGTTTTGGCCCCAAAGTTCACTCTGAATAAGCTTCTGTCAGTTGATATCACTGTAGGTCTCATGTTTTAATGTGGTTGCGTCACTTGATTTTTAAACAATTGAAAAACCTATTTTGGGATTGTTTTTGAGTATATGTAGTCTACGCATTTCCTTATTCAAAATTGAAAGGTTTGCTGTATAAATGAGCAGCTCGGTGACGCACAGAGGTGCTTTAAACTAGGAATTCAACGATAAATGATTCAGTGTCATTGATGCAAAGTTAGAGCATCGATACATATCATCATCTTTAAGATGCGCCTCTTTTTTAAAACTCCCATTGCACATCTGTGTCACCATTTCCTTCCAAGCACATCCCCTTCTCAACACGCAAACAGTGCTAGCGGCCTAGCACCAGGCCGACACTGGTAAGCAGCCAAGAAAAAGACAATGAGGATATTTACTGAGATCGTCTTATATCGATTGCAGCTCCCTGAATTGAATAAAATCAAAATTGTATCGTTGCAGACTTTATGGTATCGGCAAATATTGTATCATTGTTCAAAGAATTGATATGATATTGTATTGTGATTAAACTTGTGACTTACACCCCTGCTTTAAACTAAATGCTACCCTTAGCATATTAATATGTCAGAAATGGCAATGCTAAAATGCTAATGTTTAGCAGGTGTAATTTTTCTATGGTTACCTGATGGCGTGTTGACTTGCTGCGGCAGGTGCTCCATCCCCGCCGAGCCCTCTGTTTCCGTCCTCACAGTGTGCCGGTGTCGGACGGTGGGTCGCTGCTGCTGCTGCTGGCTGTATGTGCTTATGCCCCGCCCACACACACACATTCTCATTGACTGATGAATTGGCGCTGATCATATATACTATTGTGGCATATTGATTATGAATACAGTCCATCTGATGCTGGTTTTGTTTCATCACTGTAGCCACTATCTCACTATCAATATCCTCATTCAGATTTTAAGAAGCTGCAAATTATATTCAGCCACAAAATAAGTCTGAAAAGCTGCAAATCAGAACGAAGTACAGAGAGTTGTTGACTAGAAATGATACAACGTCTCACTGTGGTGACTTGGTGTGAACCAGCAGGTTTTTACAACGTTGCAGAACAGCACATTGGAAGTAGTTGTCTGTTTGAACTCGTCTCGTTGTGAATCTTTGGCCTGAACTGGGCCTTACGGCATAAAAACATAGTTTCAAATGATGCAGTCAGTGTAGATACAATTTCTTTTATACCACCTTGGCAAATATTGGTGTATATCTACCTGTTGGCTCAGAAAGAATTGAGTCAGTCAGAGCCGTCAGTGTCCCAGGAGGGCCGTAGAAAAGATGGAGCAGCCTGCTAAGTGTTCTCCGTCTGGGCCAAATTGCTGGCCCTCTGTAACGGCACTTCTATGAAGATGAAGAGAGTTTAGCAGACTGTTTTTGGCCGCTCTCCCTCATTCCAGTGATTCCTCAGTGCCTATAGGCATTGGCACAGAGCGAGGGGGGTGGAGGGGGAGAGGGCTAAGGCTTAGACCCCGCTTTACAGGGTCAGCCACTGCCCCAGGTGCACATGGGGAAACACTTAGCTGCTCTGTCATTATTCCATATCTCCCTCTATCTCTGTCTCAGAATTTTTCACTTTCTCTCTTTTGTCCCTTTCTTTTCTCCATGAACCCCCCTGCCCACCCCTCCCCCACCCAGGGCTGCTGTTCCCGTCCCACATGCAATATCATGCACATGGCTATTTGTGTGTAAATGAGTGTTAAGATCATTACCTACACTGTGGTCTGCACTCACTGCGCCGTCTGAGAAATGCACTCTCTCTTTGATACCGGTGTTTTATTCCTGTACGAGACATTATCCCCTGATTCTGAGCACTTGTACTGGCTAACTGTGTTTCCCCCTGAACTCCAGAACCAGACCTGGTACACTCATCAAATGTCAGTTGTCTTTGGCAGCTGTTGTGACATTACTCTACCTGGTCAAGAAAAGAAAAAGTTATTCTACACTGGCTATAAATTACAACTATGGGACTTTTTTTTTTGGTTAGACTTTTGGCTCCCAACGGAAACCGTTTTTGAGGCAAACACGCCTGTTTTTGTGTTGCACACCGGTCCACATAAATCTCCCAAAATTATAGCCCCCTTCCATTTTTTTCATGTAGCTTAAAATAAGACTGGGAATCAATCATCCAAATGAAGACTGAATATGTCTGTGCACCATCAGTCAGTCTGCAGCTTTGTGCCTCTCGCAGATAATACGAACCGGCTTGAAATAGACTTTCCTGCACTGGAGGAGAGAACAGAGAGCTTTATGCCTACCATACACTGAAGACTTCGAAATCACTTTTATAAGTCTAAGACATTCTCACATCTAAAGACAGTGTGAGGTTTTAGTCACAGACATCAAATTTTGCAAAGACTGGGGATCTGGCGGGGTCACAGTTTGCACGACTCCAACTGGATTCCTTTTGATATAATTTCCCATCCTGCTCCAGATGGGAAATACGAAACCAAACTCCGTTTAAGAAATGTGACATATTTACAATTCCTTACATTTCCGCAAAAACACATAACTCTAGAAACACAAGATAAACGGCGTCATGTGTTGACAGTATTGTCAGTTTGGCATCTGTATAATCCATAAAGTATTTCATAAACTGTATTTGTACAACCTTTACATTTTGGATTTTGTCACCTTAACTTGCGACCGACCTCCGTTGGAGAGCTGAGATATTTTAGTAGGAGGTGCGAACGAGAGGTGACCTGTTTCAAAATGAAGATTTCCCACTAAAATAAGTGCTGCTTGGTGGATCAGATAAATGCCGAATATAACACCAACTCTTGTTTACTCCAGCAGTTTCTCCTCGTTTTTCACAGTACAAGAGAACTAAGACTTGTTCATGTTCTTGTGCTTCCCTGGAGTCTCCTCAATGTTTACTGTCCACCTGGTTTGCTGCTTCCTGTTTGGTGCTGAAAAGAGCGCAGCTATTGGTTGTTGACAGTGCTCACATCCTTGAACTTAATGCATGAGCCAAGACTAAAAACTTACGATAATATTAAACATTTTTTGATTTTATCGGAACGTCAACACAAGAAGAAGACTGACTCAAGACAGCTTGGACTGAGTTTTATCACCACCTTATAGCAAACCATCAAGATCACAGGAGTGCGCACCAACTTTGGTAAAACCAGCACTGGGTAAAAACTAACAGAGATGTTTGACTCTTTGGGTCGGGGACCAGAGTTTTAGTATTGTAGCAGCCACAATACTATGTGTTAGGGCCCCATGCCCATAGGCCAGCTGTGATGTGACCCTGCCCTGCTTATCCCGTTCTGATGAGGCCCCTGTCACGTCAGGTCCAGTCACATCTCAGTTGCTGGTGCTCATGGGGACAGCATGTCAGACTGCCTACAGCCAAGGTGGGACATGATCAAGACAGGGACAACTGCCACATCACACTCCTTTTAGTCATTGGCTTATACGCTGGTTTGTAACCTGACCTGCGTCCCCATCACGAGTGGGAACAGCCACAGGGTCCAAAGTCCTGACCAGGCGGTGACACATCACCAGGATGGGCTTGTATCCAGGTTGAAATTTGGAAGTAAAGGGTTTTTAAAGGAATACCTCACTCCCCAAAATGGCCATTCACCTATCAAATTCCGTGTTACGTTGAATACATGAAGAAAACCTCGTTTTTCTAGCATGCATCTGAGATGAACGAAGAATCCAAAAACTCAGAAAATTCCTGATTAATGAAAGTCTCCGCATTTAACAACAGCAAATCTATATCAAAACATCTGTTCCCAAACTCTCACACAACTCGCACAGTATAATCGAAGTGTTATCCAGTCATATGCTCAGTACTTCTCAAACAGACAGCCCTTTATGACGGGGAACTGAACTAAAATTGAAACAAATTGATGCTCTCTTCAAAGCCAGACTCCGTTGACAAAAGCAGTTAATTTAACTCGCTGAACACGGGATTTGCTGGTCTACTGCTGCCTCGTTTGGTAGTTGTAACTTTGGTGAATCTGAACCCTTTTAACACTATCCCTGCCATCGCCGAGATTTTCCGTCATTTACGACAGAACGCTTCCTCACCATTGACGAGATATACTCTGTCTTAAGTGTTAAAAATCAAAGTCACAAAATAACACAAACTAACCAATCGATTCAGTGCTAGACCGGCAGCTCCTGTTTTCAGCAAGATAGAATTACTGTTTTTGTCAGTTGAGTCTGGCTTTGAAGAGAGCAGGCCAGTTCCCCGTCGTAAAGGGCAGAGCATATGACTTGATAAATGAGGCTTACACTGCATGAGTTGTCTGAGTTTGTATTCAGATGTTTTGACGTAGTTTTGCTGTTGTTAAACGTGGACCCCTATGACTTCAATTCATCAAGAATTTCATCCATTTTTAGATTCATCGTTCACTGTGGAGGCATGCAGGAATAACAAAGAGCACTTCACAAATTCATTGTAACACAGGGTAAGAAATCTATTCACAAATGGTCATTTGGGAGTTGAAGTGTTCCTTTAAAAACCTTTCAGCAGCCGTCACATAGGAACAACATTACTTTGCTTTTTATTACTGTCCATTTACCTTCTATTGCTACAGAAAGTGAAAGCATTTTTACAAGTTGTCAGAAAGCAGCTTTAGCGGTGGTATGTCATCTCACTGGATCCCCTCCTTTTGCTCAATATATCTTCCGTTTCCTGGCTCTTTCCCCCCGATCTCTGCCTCTAACCCCACCCTCCTCCCGCGGCATATGGGATTCACATTTGGCTCCGCTGACCGTTTTCTTAATGTGATATTATGATACATTATCTGAAGCCATTTACTCCCTGTCACCACCTCTCACGTGGACACAAGCTGAGTAAGCCAAGGAGAGGCGGTCAGATTCTGTCCAGGTGAGTTATGACCATTTAATTTGACACTGTTCACAGTGGTGATCATTTACAATGCCTGAAAGTGTAATCAAAATACAAACCGTGCTTACGTGGGTCTCTCACTCTCTTTCTCTCCAGGAGCCTGTTGCTGGTGGATAAGTTTTCACCCTCTCCTGCTGCCGGCTGTAAATTGCCTCTGTCGAAGGTGTGTGTGTGTGTATGTTTGTATGTGTGTGTGTGAGGGAACAGAAGGTGAGAAATTTGGGGGTCAGCCGAGGTCTTTCAGGTAATTGTGCTTCTTAAACTTTTGACCCACTAAGCTCTACTTAGTGTGGTGCCTGCTCCCCTTATTTCCCCCGAGAGTTTCTGACTGCATACCAGGACGTGTGTGTATATGTGTGTGTGATACAATGAGTATCTGAACATATGCTGTCAGCCTCACACAGCTTGTATTATTCTTTTTCACCTATCTTGGCATAGCACTCGTTGTTATTCCCACACTGTTTGAACAGTCTTATTTAATCAGGTTGTAAAAAATACATTAGTTTTTCATGTTGTGCCCTCCCCAACCTGTTCCCCCTGCTCTGTCTGTGTGAGGCATGTTGAAAGAATGCATCCTCGGTACTGAGGCACGAGATGATGTGACTGACTTATTTGTCTGGCGGCGTGTTCCTCGCTCCCTCTGGATTCTCTCCACGCTCCAATTAGATGATTATACCTTCACCGTCAGACAGTTTTTGATATCACGCTGCTCATTTTGGTAAAAAACAACAACAAAACAGATTATAATCCAGAAACAAAGTAAAGTGGCTGTCGTAATGCACCGCAATAATTTGGCAGCAGTTGTGCAGAAGTCTCAGAGAAGCTATCATCGCCCATTGTCTCAGGGTAACAGCTATGCCTCCGTCATTATTAGCATTATATGCATCGCAGTTTGTCCCCTGTTCTGTCCTCAGGGTGTCTGTCTTCAAACCAGTCTCAACTCTCCCCTTTGGCCCTACGCCACAAGGTATAGGGTTTGAAATCTTAACCTAGCAAATAGAACGCCACTCATTGTGTCATCATGATGGCAACAATGGCCACGGTCATTGAAAACGTGGAAAAGTCATAGGGTTTCAAAATCACAATTTCCAGGCCTGGAAAAGTCACAAAATTAGTAAAAAATCATTTAAAGTTTGGAAGTCATGAAACTTTGTTGTGTGAAATGAAACTGTTAACGTAACATAATGTAACATAACGTAACATACCAGCAAATTTATTTTCTGAAGCTGTCAAGGTAACGTTGCTCTAATATGGGTCGATGTGTGACAATGATTTGTTTACCATCACGCATGTTTCTTCATTTTCTCCCCATGTTTCGTTTTTCCCTTCATGTATGCCCGCTAGCTAAAATTATATTTAAATAGTTTGAATCTAATCTGTTTAAAAAATGCTGGCCAAGAAAAAAAATCTTTGGTCTTTGATTGGTCTTAAAAAAGTCATGAAAAAGTTTTGAAATTTTGTCCATGAAAATGTGTGGGAACTCAATTAGTAGATAGCTATTAGTAATGGATAATGGTTGAAACAGTTAGCTTAAAGCAGCTGATATACAGTTGAAATAGCATAAGTTAGTTAAAAAGTAACCAATAAGTGGTTAGAATACCATTAGCTAGCTAAAAGTAGTAGATAATGGTGGAAACAGTTAGCTAAAAGTAACTGATAAGCGGCTTAAATAGCATTAGTTAGCTAAAAATAACTGATAAGCGGTTAAAATAGCATTTGTTAGCTAAAAGTAATAGAATGGTTGAAACAGTTAGCTAAATGTAACTATAAGCAGTTAAAATAGCATTCATTAGCTAAAAGTAATAGATAATGGTTGAAACAATTAGCTAAATGTAACTGATAAGCAGTTAAAATAGCATTCGTTAGCTAAAAGTAATAGATAATGGTTGAAAGAGTTAGCTAAATGTAACTGATAAGCAGTTAAAATAGCATTCGTTAGCTAAAAGTAATAGCTAATGGTTGAAACTGTTAGCTAAATGTTATTGATAAGCAGTTAAAATATCATTCGTTAGCTAAAAGTAATAGATAATGGTTGAAACGGTTAGCTAAATGTTATTGATAAGCAGTTAAAATAGCTCTCGTTAGCTAAAAGTAATAGATAATGGTTGAAACGGTTAGCTAAATGTTATTGAAAAACAGTTAAAATAGCACTCGTTAGCTAAAAGTAATAGATAATGGTTGAAACGGTTAGCTAAATGTTATTGATAAGCGGTTAAAATAGCACTCGTTAGCTAAAAGTAATAGATAATGGTTGAAACAGTTAGCTAAATGTAACTGATAAGCGGTTAAAATAGCATTCGTTAGCTAAAAGTAATAGATAATGGTTGAAACAGTTAGCTAAGTGTTACTGATAAGCGGTTAAATTAGCATTCGTTAGCTAAAAGTAATAGATAATGGTTGAAACAGTTAGCTAAATGTAACTGATAAGTGGTTAAAATAGCATTCATGAGCTAAAAGTAATAAATAATGGTTGAAACAGCTAAATGTAACTGATAAGCAGTTAAAATAGCATTCGTTAGCTAAAAGTAATAGATAATGGTTGAAACAGTTAGCTAAATGTAACTGATAAGCGGTTAAAATAGCATTCGTTAGCTAAAAGTAATAGATAATGGTTGAAACAGTTAGCTAAATGTAACTGATAAGCGGTTAAAATAGCATTAGCTTACAAAAAGTAATGGATCAACAGTTGAAACATCTGACAGGGCTGTTTTACGCCTTAGTGATTTTTCCGATATGCATGTTATAGTAATCAAATTACATGTTCCTTTGCAACAAACGTTAAACTAAGATATCCCAACGGATTGTGACATTTGTGCATGATTATTTGCAAAGATAAACTTGCATTTATTGGCTTATTTCCTGCACCGGTAGCAGCCATGTTTGCATCTAAAAAGACTCCATTATGAGGGCCACCTGGAGGGCTCAATGACCACTAACCCACAGAAGTAACGGGACACCCAGCCTTACGCAGCAGCACTCAAACGGAGCGGTAGGGCCAAGGGGGAGAAATGGGATTGGGCCGTTCATGTTGAGCCATGTGAGAGAGATGAATGAGGCCGTTACAGTTTGGATCTATGCTGCGCTGGGCTCCATCGCTGTTGTTTTCATCGCTTCCACACATACAGCCACAGCATGTAATTGTTTACAGATGAAGACAAATAATCCAGAGTTAGGTATCCTCAGAGTGACTCGTACTAACAGTTGACCCACTGGGTCCTGTACGTTTTTAAAAAGTGAGTGATGAATGCTTTTTTTCTTTCAAATTCATATTTAGTGTTTAAGAAACGACTTTTCATCTGGGTATTATTCTGAATGTTTTCATTATGAGTGAAGCTGAACATGCTTTGTGCCTGCAGGTGGAGGACAATCTGAGCTGCATTAACTGTACTTACAGCCCAGATGCTCCCATCAGGAGAAGATCATCACTGAGGTGAGTTATTTAACTCGCTTCCTCCCCCCTCACCCACCCCACCTGCACACCCCCCCACCCCGCATGTCAGGAGAAAGCGCGTGAAGAGGAAGGCCACAAGGGCCAGTTGTTTTTAAATAAACTAAATCTGCTAACAGTTTTATAACCCCGACCTCGTAAAAACTGGTTGCAGCTTTTGGTCAGCTCTCGCCTGATGGGGCCAGCAGAGCCGTCCAGGGCTGGAATTCCCATTTGCCGCTGTGGAGCGTGTCGGTGCGTCAGCTGGTGTGTGTGTGTGTGAGACAGAGAAGGAGAGAGACAGAGAGAGAAAGGGCGTATGATATACGATTGCTGTGTCACGATCCACATGTGACGACCGTCCTCACAGGCAGAGCATCCAGGCTGCTCCCTCTTTCTGGTGATTTCCCTGTGAAAGAAGAAGTGAGGCAGTGTGACTGTGGGACAGAGAAGAAGGAGAGGGAAGGAGAGAGGAGGTGGGAGAGACAGTGAGACAGAGGGAGGAGAGAATAGCGCTCAGACAATCGGTGTGTGTGAGAGAGGTAGAAACAGGAGAGAGGAGCTGGCTGGGAAACAATAGTTGAACAACAAATCCAGTGTTGCGTGCAGGATCTCAGCGTCTCTCTGGATATCTCTGCTGTCTTCCTGCTGCCGTGCACTGAAGGTAGGACAACCATTCAAACAACACTTACAGCTACAGGAACATCTTGTCTTTCTTTTAATATGCTGAAGATATATTCTAGTCCCTTAGCTGTATAAGAATTTGCTATAAACTACATTCTGGATGAAATAATGTGTTGCATGTTCCTTTATGCATTTTCAGCTATTCATGCATGATACACGGACACACTCCTGCAGAGTCTGACTTCAACTTCTGCTCACTTTCCCTCTCCTGCACATCCCTAAGCTCAGGTGCACATTCCTCTTTTATTGCAGGTATTTTCTGCTCTGCATGTGTCCAGAAACCACAAGTGGTTGTGATTAGGAACCAGCGTGACATGATGTGTAATAGGAGGAAACATGTTTGTGTTGGCGCCGGCGGATTCGCTAATCAGGCACTGACAGCGGGGCTGGAAGGACAGCGGAGCTCATGGAGCTTGTAGGGAGTGTGTGTGCCGGAGCGCGAGGTTAACCGGGGTGTGAATAACTTCGGATGTGGATGGATATGTGTTTTACAGGTGTGTGCGTTTATGTCCGTGAGTGTGTGATCGACTTGGTCCGTTCTGCTGGACCCTGAGGCTGCTGGCTTATGTTGGAAGGAGATGATGACAGATATAATAGACTCTGTGGTAGGTAGGAGGAGGAGGAGACGTGCTACCACTTCCATCTCACTGAGAAGGAGAGGTGTGTGAGAACGAGAGAGGGAGAAGGTGTTTAAATGAAAAATGAGGTGACTACAAAAGACGGGGATAATGAGAGGGGGAAAGGAAAGGGAAGGAAAACATCTGAGAATGAGACAGGAACAGTGAACTCTTCACAGGACAGGCAGTGCCAGAGAAGGACACGATAAATAGGAGAAACAGAATGAAACTGAGATGTGCGAGAGGGGGAGAGAGAGAGGAGGAGAAAGAGGGCTGGAGGAGGTGAGAGTGACAGAGAGCCTGACACAGGAGGGAGAAAAAGAGAGATTGAGACTGTGATGCAAACATCCCTGCAGACATCCCTCCTCACTTCCAGTGACACCAGATGAGAAACAGTTTGTTCGGTAAGAAAACGTCTGCGCTTTTTCACCCGTGCCGATTGAGTCCGCATCCTCACCTCAAACTAAAAGTCACTTTTGGACTGTTTGGAGAAGGCGAGGAAGAGGAGTAGGAGGTGTGTTTGAAACATCGCACATTCAGCCAGGTGCAGAGAGACAGCAATGCTCTGGCAGAGCAGCTCACGGTCGGGTTTGTGTCTGCACTCTCATGTTTCATATTCTCACACATGCAGACGCACACACACACAGGGGCCCATTGTGAGTGTATTTATTTGGACAGTGTTGAAGCTTCGATAGGCAGTTCACAATGTCTCACCGCCGCAGGAATGTGCTTCTGACAAATGGATGCTCCGCACGAACCGCAGGCCATCGAGAAGATACTTAACGCCGGCCCTGCCAGACAAGCATGTGACAGATCTCTGCTGCCCCGCAGAAACCCGGTCCAACGCAATAAAACAAACACACCCACGACTTCTTCACTCGCTCTTTTTCGAAGGCGCCTCAGGCTTGGAGCTGAATGGAGGATTGATTTAGTTTCATGTACTGGTTGTAGCCTGCAGCTCGCTACGTTCCCACTCTATCTTTCTGCTGAGGATGGAGAGAACAGGTTTATTATTTGAGGTGCATGTGTGTGTTGACCCAGCAAGGTTGTGGTTTTTATCACACACACTCTTAGAGTGTTCGTCAGAAAAGAAACTGGAGAATACTCCTTCATACATGTCTTCTGTCTTCCCTCTCTGTCTTTGTCTCTCCACTGTTTCTGAGAAGCCGCAATTGTAAAGCTAACACAAGCTTAGCTCGGGCTCACATGGCTGCCTGTCATTGGCTGCACGCTGCTCTCAAATCCACACTGTTTGTCTTATCTTTACTGGGGGGGATATATTTAGTGAGGAGCTTAGCTTTTAGGAGGTTGGCGCGTGGGGAGGGTAAGAGAGGGTGAGTGTGTGTGTGAGTGTGAGAGGAAAGAGTAAGTTTGTGTGTGTGTTTCAGGAGCTGGCGTCAGTAGACAGTGGAAGAGCTTGGCACTCTGCATGCCAAACTGTGTGAGTGTGTATACTGTGTGTGTGTGTGTGTGGCTGGAGGACAGGTCTGTGGGTCTGCCCCCCCACTCCGCTCCAGTCAGGAATCTGCCCTTTAGTTTATTAAAAGCTGGTGAAACAATGGAGGGAGGTGAGGTAGAGGAGGAGGGGGGGTGGGCACGGTGAAGCACTCGAGCAAATCAGAAAGGAGAGTGATGATGTAGTTGGAGTGAAGACGTCGAGAGGGAGGGGTGGAGGTAGGAAGAGGTATTCATCATGCCTCAAAAAAATGACACCTTCCCCGCTCTACCTGTCATTTCTCCCTGATCCCTCCTTCCTCTGGCATCCTTTGATGCACCTGTTTTGCGTGCGTGGCAGCGGGGTCTGTGTAGCTGCCCACCGCCACCGCAGACAGACCCGTCTCTGGACAGCAACTGTGTACTCAGCTGCCGGCTGGCCGGGGCGATAAAGCGGAGGATCCTTCTGAAGAGCTGGCTCTGCGTGTGCCATCACACACCAGCAATGTTTAGAGCCCCAGACCGGCAGCACAACACGGCCCCTGTGTATCTGCATGCGTGTGTGTGTGTGTGTGTGAGAAGAAAAACCCATAAGTAAGGTGGGCAGGGGATATTTATACATGCTCCCCACTGCTAAGAACAAAATGTGGTGACGTGGACTGAGAAATTCTGTTCCTCACAACATATGGCTGCAACAGTTGGGAGGCTCCATTTTGTCACTTCTTTTTACAGGTTTTCAGATAACGTCATTGTTTCATTTTTACCTCCTGAACAAACTCTTTGCACTTCAGATCTCTTGGGCATCACTTTTTATTATTAAGGAGAGGAAGCATTTGGGCTGCTGTTAGCAAGTATTTCCATTATTGAATTTATAGGCATAGATTTTGGGGAGTACACAGGAGACATATCGCCCTTAATATTTAGAACATGTGCATTTGTCCCCCCAGTTAAAAACATGAATGTGACAGAAGAGTTTTATTTTGACAGAATTAAAGACAACTATACAACATAATATTGCAATATTTTGCGTGGTGATATTTATTTTTTTTTTTTTTAAGATTATTTTTTGGCTTTTTGCCTTTAATATACAGGACAGTGTGAAATGGGGAGACAGAGAGAGTGGGGGGACAACATGCAGCAGAGGGTTGCAAGCCAGAGTCGAGCTTGCGACCGCTGCAGTGAGGCATCACCTCTATACATGAGGCGCCGGCACTATCCACTACGCTACCGACGCCCCTTGCGTGGCGATATTGTATCAATACATGGATGCCAAGTATTGATTTTTTTTTGGTCATTTAAATCATCAATATTGCAAAAACAAATTAATCTTTTGGTAGCCCGATAAAGTCATGAAATCACTTGCCTTTTCAGTCCACTAGATACATGTTGCTGCCATAAAAATGTGGAACAACAGGTGAACCAGGTGAGAGTGGACTCAAACACATGACTCTGGAGGCAGTTCAGGTAAAATAACCAATAATAGTATTTACTGGTCAAACGTTGGGTTTGGTGGAGGCAAACAAATCCAATAGAGATGAGGCAGAGTCAGAGTCAATCAACAGGCTAAATCCAAAAAAACAAAAAAAAAAAGGACACAAAAGGCTGGAACACTAGACACACAAGGAGCTAAGATGAACTGGCACTGAGAGGAAACAAGACACACTAATACTAAGAGCCCGTTTACACGTACACGGTGATTTTGATAAACGGAGACATCTTCCTTCGTTTACACGCAAACGGAGATTTCTCCTCTGAAAACGAGTCTTTCTAAAAACTCCGGCCAGAGTGGAGATTTTGGAAAACTCCGGTTGCGCGTTTGCATGTAAACTGAGATAAATGGAGATAAACGGAGTTATAGGCAGCCGACGTCACAGTATGCGCCGGAACTTGCGCCTGTGTCAAAAGTGCGACCTATGTTGCTATGGTGACAATGGATACATGGAAGGCTTGAGCTTCTCGTTACACTACCACCTACAGGTTTGGCATGCTCTTGTGTATATATACACGGGTAAGTGTAAACGAAGATCTTTTTGAAAACGGAGACGGTGAAATGTCCGTTTATGAAAATAGCCGGCAACATGTAAACGGCCTCTAAATACTCTGGTGAGGGGAAGGATAATGAGACACAGGTGAGGCTGATCAGGGCGGGACAGACAATCAGACACAGGTGAAGTCATCAGAAGGGAGGGAAAACACACGGGCAGGAAGTGAAGAGATCTGAAATGAGAGGAGATGTGTTTGAAAGTAAAACAGGGAAAAACATGAATG